AACATCAGGGAATAACAGTCAAAAATCCAACTAACATGATGGTTTTTCCTCTTAAGGGCCTAGGTCTAAATTTTCAACATCTTAAACTGGGAAAAGCTTCTGGAAGATTTCTTCTATACCTTTTTCTGTTTCCTTCTTTGTACCAGGATAGCATACAGAACTGTTTGTAATAGGATAGGTGTGGTTCCCCCCCAGATTAAACACAGAAGGACTTGCTGCTTACTTGAGACCTGGGCCTCTCTACATTGGTTCAAAAAATGCTGGGGCAAAGTGAACTGATGTGCTCATTAAAGTAATCTGCCAGCACCTTACCCTTCCTATCTATGTAGCAAATCATTTTAAGATGTGCTGACTTTGACTAGTAGGCCTTCCTTAGTTGTACTTTCACAAGGATAGAATATTCCTGAAAAGTTTCTCCATTCTGTAGGACAAAAAATGTTTTCTTTAAGAGCAGAAGAGCGCTGTATGTGTTCTTGCCCCACTAACAATCCTAAAACCAGTATATTTACTGCAGAAGTTGGGAGAAAAATGCTACTTCCCATTATTTTTACAGTTACCATATTTTTCTCTCTCAGTATCTCAAGGCTGTAGTAGAACACAGTCTTGTTCACCATCAACATTGTGATAAAGCAGTAAGGTGCTTTTATTCCTTTTCTATTTATTTTTTCTTCTGCTTTCCCACTGCATTCTGTGACAAACCTTGTTATACTGGGAAATAACTAGAGGATGTCTTCTTGGAGGAACTCAGCCCTACTTAAAACATATGATGTTACACAAGCAGCAGTTTTTGGATTCAGTTATTAAAGGGCACAGAACCATCAATAAATTAATCCATGGAAATGAGTGGCATGGTAGAAAAGCAATACAAGCCATCTCCATGAATCACCACACTTCTGGCAAATTCATCTTCATACTTGTTAGTGAGAGTTGTCTCTTTTAGAGAAACTATCTTGCAGAGGCACCAAATGATCTTTCCTTCCATGCAAAATACCCTGCTTGTCTTTTAAATAGACTCCCCTCTCCAAAAGAGTATGTGAAATATTCCTTTAAAAGTAAATCTAAAGCCTACTCATAAATTGGCACTAACATGCATATCAAAGATGTTCTGCAGAGCTGCATAATGCCAGAAGCACTTCGCTTTTCCACAGAAATCTTAACGAAGCTTAAAACAGCAACTTCTAACATCATTACTTAGACATAGCACATTATGTGCTCATCTTATACAAATGGTCACTTATTGCTTTAATCGCATGCAAAAGAGCATACAGGTATATATACATATCAAATGAATAACGCAACATTAACTAAGCAAACAAAATTCTAGCACACAAGAATGTTATATTAAAATAGGAATGAATGAGGCCCTGTGCCAAGTCTGTGAACTCTGCACGCAGATCACGAGGAGCACAGAGGCTTATGACCCACAGAAAGCTGTCCTCTCCATAAAGAGCTTTCCTTGTGTTCCCAAAGCAGTTGCTGTCTTCAGAAATTTCTGCTGTCTCTCTAAGTTGGGGACATTCCCACAGTTTCTCCTAATCTCAGTTTTGGAAGTACTGGTCACATGTGAGTTACATCCTAGCAAGAAAACTGAGCAAAGTTTCATTTTACACTCAGGATTCTGCACCCAGTGGGGAGACACATGGTTTGCATTATTAAAGGAAATGTATAGCCTTTGCAAATGCAAAGTCTCAGTTACTTCCCTTCTTCAAGGAATGATAATGTAGTAAATCGTACCTATGAAGTTCTATGAAATATTTATTATAAAGATTTACCAGCCTTATTAGTTTCACCTCTGTCAGCAGCAGGGCTTTCACAAAATGTTATGATTTTTATTTTCCACTTCTCAGCCTTTGACTATAAGGTATTAAGACAATACAATGATTTATTTTTCCAGATGTGCTTTTCTTTCTCTGAGCATTATTTTCTTCCTGGTTTGGTTTAATTTTACACTTGACTGAGGTGTATAAACTGAAGGAACTGAAGTAATTTGGGGAAAATAAGTACATGGGTTACAAAAAGAATCATTTTGTAACTGTTTTACAGAAGTAAGATAATCATCTACGGCAGAACACAACTCAGTTTAAAAGCGCAATTAATAGCAGTGGCATGGCAGTGGTGTAAGAAGAACTTATCACAGCTTAGAAGTGATGGAATTTGGACAATGTACTCCACTTCTAACTTGACCTCAGGCTTTCTCAGTCTTGTAATCCAGAGATAACCAGACAGGGCAAAGGGAGGAAATCTAGAGTGCAAACATTTTAGTTAAATCTGATTATTGAGATGTACATTCATCAGTTTACTAAGTGCTGTCACTTTATGCAATCGCACTCTGTTGTGGTTGCCTCTTCCACAGGAACCTCCTCTTACTAACTTTTGAATGCACTGATGAGTAGCAATCAAATCTGACAGAAATGTAGGCAAGTTGGTGACAACATTAGTGCAAGCTCCATGTAACACACCACAGTGGAACATCCCTACCGCAAATTCATTATCCAGTGACTACGAAGCTTATGCCAACAAACACCAGCACATATCAAAACAATGCAGTTCAAAAAAAAAATTGAGAATAAAAAAAAGAAGAAAAGGAGTTTGCAGCTGTGTGAAGACATTACAGGGCATCTGGAATATGCTGCTCAAAACTAGCTCAGGTATTGCTTGAGGGAATCAGCACTTTCTCATACAAGGAAGGCATATAAAGTTTCCCTGGTACTATTAAAAGCTGTATCTTCAACAACTCCTTTACCCACACTGTCAGAAAACAAATTCACTAAGTGGGGTAATTATTCCTCCCTAAGCCTCAGATTTCACTTCTTTATCTTCTACATATGGCTTTTCTTTCAGTTTGGAAGTAACCATTTCTGATACCTCATTAAACCAGCCTTCTCTATTGGATATAGGAATGTCCCATTTGCTTTCAGCTTGTATGGCTTGTATGTAAGTCATAGCTTAATTCTTTACCTCCTCTTTTCAAGAGCTGTTTTCTTATCCAAGATGCAGGTACTAAAAGTTGCAAGTCTAGCTCTTCATTCTTACATCAGTCAAAACATTCATCCTCTTTTTTCCCCCTCGTTTCTGTAATCTCTCCAAAAACACCAACTCTATACAAATGTTCATCTTCAGATTGAATACAATACTCAGATTTCCATGACACAGTTTCATAGTCAGTTTCCCCTGTTTAGGATACCTGAAAAGCTATGAAAAACACTTGTTGCTTTTGAATGTGCTGTTATAAGAAACAGAGCTACCTTCAACTCTCCTTCCTTACAGCCCCTGCTCTCAGGCAAGAAATGAGGTGCCACTCTCTAATTACACTATTCAGGGGGCATTCTTAAGTCCTTTTATTTTTGGCATTCTGCACTGTCCGTCAGTCAACCCGAGCCAAGTCTTTTAGCAAAAAAAATGTTTCTTTTAGCATCCAAGTTTGAACAGATCAGCACATCATATTATAAGTTTCTGCATAAAGAATAACCGGTTCTCTAATTCACAGCAAAAACTTCTCAGGCTCTCTACAATCTCTGTAATAGCACAGCTTCTGTATTTTTATTATTTTACTGTGAAACTGTCCTGAATTTCTGTATGCTGTTCAGCAGTGGTCATAGGTTGTTTTGTTCTTCTGAAGTGGTAAAAGTGTCTCACCTCAAATATCACTCTATTCATTGGTGCTATTAACAAAATTCTTATGGGAAATAGAATAGAAATTTCCCAGAAAAACTTGACTTAAGAAACCCTCCAACCAATTTTTCACAACTGCCTCTGTTTCCCTTTCCATAACAGTTTTCATGTAAATACTCAGAAACTGTACAAAGGACTCTTCCAGAGAAGAAACTGTCACTCTGTGACAGCTCCAAATCTGAAGTACCATGTATTTAGGGGAGCTTCTGATTGCACCCCACCACTGGAAAGAGACAGATAAGAACTCTCATTTATAACCTCATGCAAAGCAATAGCAAATATATCCGTCTCATCTGCTAGGCAGTAACCAAGCACAAACCAAACTCTCCAATTTCAGTCAGATTTTAGAGATTAAACATTCACTATGGCTTATCGCTGACTATGATGATTTTGAAGTTGCATTGGGCTTTCTACTGTTTACATGTAGGTGCTAAAATCTCACAAGGCAGTAGCAGAGCTAGAGAGAAATATCCCTCACTAACCAAACTTTGTGCAGCAACACCTCCCTACCAGAGATACCTGCACTCAGTAGTGTGGGAATCAAGTGTTGTTTCTGCATTAGAATCAGATAATATTATTTTTATTTCATGATCTCCGCTATCATAGTTCTTTTCGGGAGTCCTGCTTAACTTAGGGAAGATCTCTGATAGTTTACATCACTTATCCTCTAGACGAACCTTCCCAGGAACGCACACTGTGTACGTAGGTGTATATACGTATATCTTGTCATACACACTGCAAGAATATCCTGCACGAGATCAAACCAGAGAACTAGTCATGGATGCCCGAGGAGGCGCCTGAAGAGGCATCGGAAGGCCTGGCATCATCCCCCCCAGTGCTCTTTGTTCAACGAAGACTTTAAAGAAAATCACCATATCAATACGACAAGGAGAGCACCGAGACATCTTGGAAACAACAGGATGGCTGCTGACTGACACCGGAGAACAGATTAACAAGTAAATAGCAGACGTAAACCTTCTGATAAGATTGTGAACCTGGAGAACCCAGCCAGCGGGGAAACGAGAGGGGGGGAGGCAAGGGGGAGCAAACAGGATCTAAAGGCTGTCACGTCGTGTCCACAGGCGCGCTGCTGCTTGTGGGACGGCCGCCGTTGCAATCGCGAATAAATTCTGCTTTTATCAGAGATACCATCCTGACAAAAATTAGTTGGATATTTCCAACAGTAGTCTGCGAGTACAAGAAATCAAAAGAAAACGCTCAGACCACACGTTCTGCTCACAAAAAAATAAATGAGATTGCTTCAGACTATACCAAACAAAGTGCTTGCAGGTAGGCCAAGAGTCCAAGCAAAAAAGAACTGGACTTACCCCAGCAATGACAGGGCTGTCTGGCCACACAGCAACTCACGCAACAGCTTAGGTCCAAGAAAAGCTCTCCCTTTAGCTGTCGGCCCTTATGTGAACCCAGGGCGTTCTACTCCTTCTGCTCACATGGAGAACACAGGTGCAAACAATTTGGCTGTGCTCCCTGGGCCCGCCACAGCCTTTCACCAGGTGCGCAGTCAGCAGTTCAAGGCACGGCCTAACAGTTCCCCTGCACGATGCATTTAAACGCAGCTGAGCTTGCTTGAAGCAAATTAGGGAGCGCTTAGTGCTGCTGAGGTCTGCCTCTCAGGCCTTAGGCAGCTCAGGACTAGAAGCCACCAGCTTAGAGCCACAAAGGAACAAGCCTTGAGGCATGGTTTGATGTCTGTATATGTGTGTGTGAATTAGGCTTTTGGAAGAGCTTGTTAAGGATCCGGGACAGTTCCTCAAACGGCATTCTGGCCTTTGAGTTATCTACCCACACACGTGTTTGACTGGCAAGTCACAGGTGAAAATAATTTGTATTGAGTGGCAGCAAAACCTTGTGAAAAAGGTCAAATCAGTTGATAAAGATAGCTGTAGAGTAGGGCTCAGGATAGAAGGAGTCTTGAAATATTGATGGAGTGTAATGTGCTCAGTGGAAGATGATTTTTGTTGTTGATTGAAGCAAAAATACGAGAGGAAGATTCAAGATATCTGAAAAAAGAATCTGGTCCTTCCTTGATGATGCAATAAAATAAGGTAAGCGTATGTATTAATTCAATCTACTTAGTAAATTCTTAATGTACTTAATGTTAAACAATTTTGTATAATAAATACACGTTATTATTAAAATTGAAGTAACTTCAATATATGTCTCTTATTTCCGTATTAAAGATTGCGTCCTGTCAGTTCTTGTTATCACGCACCAGAAATAGTAACACACCTTCCCTGTGTTGGTTTATAAATAAAAATGCACGTTTTTCTAACAACTCTTAAATGAAACGTGATTTAAACTTTTTAGGTCAATTCTAGAAAGCTGGTGCTTGATGCATCCTTCTCCTGAAAGCAGAAATTAAGTAGGGCAACTTCAACTACAGAACATGTCAGATTGTGAATGAATTTGAATATAGAAGGAAGAGTAAATTAAATCATGGCTATGTTTGTGGCACAAGGGTAAATTAGACTAAATTAGGCTTAATGCAGTAGTTTAACCCTGATTAATTCCAAGAGCTCTTTCTCTTCAAACATAGTAAGAACTGCCCATGAAGTGGACATAAAGCAAGTGTAGCCATTAAATAAAATATATGCTCCATGCATGTATTTTGTTTTGTATTTTTACTTTTCTTGTCCCGGTAAGTAAATGCTGGTTGATGATATAGTTATTTTGAAAGCAGGATGTGAAATCCAGTGTGAAATGAATTGGCAATAAGAGCTTGCACTTACAAGCATTATTTGTTCTGTATAAAGGTCCTAGTAACTTTTCTTTTTTTTTTTTTCTAATATTCTGTTTTTTAATTGAATTTAGATCCTGAAATACTAAAAAGATGAATGGTTTATTAAGATGCTGTCGTATTTTAACACAGAGCACCGAGAGTTTGCATTTGTCTTAAAGTATACTTTTGAATGTGGAAGCATAAGTGATATTGCAGTTTATTCTTGTCTTCTGAAATTGCTCATTGGTCCAAGGTTGTCAAGGTCAGTGAGAACTGTGCCCAAGTCTGTGATTAGGAAGCAGGAAGAAAATTATAGAGAAATCTGAGTTGACAGAAAAACATGAGAAGATCTAATGACAGAAGGGCTGAAGTGTGCATGAAACAGGAACTAACATCATTATGCAAAAAGCAGCCTTTGAAGCAGCTTTTTCTATGGGTTGAAAAACTACTAGAGATAATTAGTAAAGATCTGATCTAAGTTTTCTTGGTCTAAAATCATACTCATGTTACTATAGCAAGTTCGAAGTCTGATCAGTTTTCAGCGAGTAGTCCCTGGCTAGTAAACAGTGAGCAAAACCCTTATCTAAGCGAAAAGCCAATGACTCCTACTATGGACCTGATCCCAGTTTGGCTGAACAAAGTTCTTGGCACTTTTCAGGGCTCAGAAACCAAAAAACAGAAGGTAGAAAAGCATGCAAAATACGATTTTTTTTTTTAATCAAAATTCTACAACTATTGCAACAAAAGGAGTACGAGAAATAACAACAAAAAGAATTGAAGGAAAAAGGCAAAGCACAACCTACGGAAACATATTTCTCTTTTTTTTTTTATCACAGTTGTGATGGCAGCTTAAGCTGCCCCAGAAGTAGGTGAAATAAACATATGTACTCCAGCTTTATGCCTTATTTCCATTAAAAATATTACTGCTGATAACTATGTTGCACTTATTAGAAGAAAAAAAAGCAGGCCTCTTAATTTTTCTATTCTGCTCTGTTCATTGTTTTTTCTTTCAATTTCTCACATCTCCTAGGCTATTTATTGACTCATTTTTCTCTAGTTTGCACCATTTTTTTTTTCTTTATAAGTTCCAGATTGGCTTCTTGTGGCACTCCTGGTTTATGTTTTCTCTATTGCTTGTTTCTAGAAATGCACAATTGAGCAGACCCTAATGGCTATTTTTTTTCCCAATTCTTCTTCTACTATTGCATAAGTGTTCCCTTCTCTTGTCTCTAAGTTTTACTGGCCCAATGAGGCTCACCTAGAGTCTCTGCCCACCCTCACTTTGTGGGCACAGAGGCTTTCTAAAACTCAGCCTAACACCCTCGATTTATTTTCTAGCTATACTGTAGGAATGCTGGTATTTAGCTCAGCCCCATGTACACCCAATCATAGATGATCCTGATCTGTAGGCTGGCTCTCCAGCCTGATCTCGGACCTTCCCTTTGATGATAGATCTGCTCAGTAGTTATTAGACTGGATTCTGTCCCCGACTCGCTGGTTGGCTTCAGCTTGATCTCAGACCTCCGTCATGCTCAGGACTCATAATTCCAGGACTATGGTCAAGACTATGATTTCTAGACCTGCTGTGTTTCTGTCTGGGATGAGTACTACAAAGTCAAGAGGGCTTTTCCCCAGTAGGTCCATCCTCTCTGGCATTGAGAGGACAAACGGTCCTTGCTTCTCTGTTACGCCTGATGTGGGAATTTGAGAATATCTCTTACTTTTTCCAAATCCAGCTTTATCCTAGAAATTATGGAAACTCTTAAGTGTATGTGTGTATATACATACACATCTACACACTTAATATATGTTTATATATATTGTTTTCTGAATAATAACTATCCTTGGGAAGTAACGAATTGAAAAAATAAGCAGGTGTGAAACAAACTTGCTCTGCTAATGTAATGAAATCCTGCTTTACATACTCAAGAGTGTTAGAACATGTGAAACCATATCTTTCAGTTACAAGCATCTGAGACAACAAAGGCAAGACTGAAAAAAGGAAGTCTCTGTACCTGAGTGAACTAGGAACCTGCTATATTCTGCTGTTATCTTTTATTGCCTTGACCCTGAAAGTTGTGTCCTGTAGCACGTGCTATGAGCTACTGTATGTGTCTTCCACATCTTATTCTTACTGTCCACAATGTATTTGCTATAAGTAGAGATGCCTTGTGATCTCCAACCCAATGTAGATGATGGCAAAGACAGACTTGACAAATGAAGACTGAGGTTAGCCTTTTTTTTCTGACAAATGAAGAACACGGACTGACAGCCGAATGAGAAAACCATTCTGGTGTCCTCTTAAAATTGATGAACTTGTCAGTAATCTCCTTGGTCAAATAAGAATTATCAATGAGTCTGAACAGATAGCCTACTGAAGTTTAATAAATAAACTAATAGCAAGAGGGAAGAGCTAGTGTCATTCTAATGCATGAGAAAGAGCTTGTAGAGGTCAGCATTTTGTATAGTACCAAGTGCCAAAATAAGAAGCATGCTCAATTTTTAAAATCCAGCTGTAACTTCAGAAGCTACTGAATCCATTTTAAGAACTTGCTGATTGTTTTCTAAAGGAGGTGTATTCAGTGATGGGAGGCAAATCACTTGGCATAACTTCCAGCAAGTTTGTGACAAAAGGCAAACAAAACTGAACTAACACAGCTTTGGCAGAAGTCCTTTCATCCTGGCCTACATGATATCCTTGGAAGGGTACAAGGAATGGTCTGATGGGGTTATTCAAAGTTATACAAAGTAATTAATTGGAAAGAAAAAAAAAGTGCTCATTGCTGTCCTATAGAGATGCATATTTACCAGTTTATCCCAGAAAAGACAGAGTACTTAAATGGCCTCAACAGAATTGAATGTTGATAATGTTAAGTATGATGTCCCCAGTAAAACCCCTTTCAAGCCAAGATATCACAAGTAATCCTTAATACTCTGAGCAGTAGCTGTTAAAAGCTGTGACTGTGAACTAATGAACACAGTAGGCATTTCCTCTGACAGAGGGTGCAAACTCACATATTAATAGGGAACTTAGTACAATAGCTACTTTTCAGCTGAAGGAAAAGGGATTTCCCTCCATAAACTCCATCAGTTGTCTGCCTGGTTTCCAGCTCAGCTGCTCTGCGTCAGCCTGGAACAAAAGATTTGCTTGCAAGTGCACATATTAGCCTGATTAACGTTAATTCAGATTGGTATGTATAACTGTTTCCAGATCTACCATAATGCCGATAATTTTAGAGGAAAAAAAGTCATGATGCATGTCATGTTTTTATTAATATTTAGTTAGATGTTTAAAATTCCTATCAATTGCATCAAATTGCAATCAACTAGCAAACACAATTCATTCAATGTCATACAGTATCAAGAATGTATAACAAGTTAAAGATATGATGGCTACTATAATAAAATATATTAAAATAAGTTCTTGATAACAACTGGCAAAAAAATACAAAAATACTAGCATATCTATCTATCTATGTAGGATCATAACAGTTCATGTTGGTCAACTAGTCCAAAATATTTCATTTTAGAGTTGACATTTTTTCAATCCAAAAGGCAATTCTAATTTTTTTTTCCGTCACAGCTTTGGAACTCTAACATTATTTATTTGTGAAAAATCTCCTTTCACAAATGCAGTAAATTGTACTATCAAAACCCTCAGAACCTGTGTTTGCATCACATTTATGTAATAGAAAATATAGCAATATGGCTGCACTTGGTTTACCCAGCAATAAATAACCAGGAGATCATTTCTGAAAAGGCACAGCGTAAAGCAATAAGCATGTCTGTCATCTCTGAAGATTTCCCAGACATCTCAAAGTGCTACTTATTGCTCAGACTTCATCTTGATTTTCAGAGTCAATATAAAATGGATGTATGTGATATACGTTATCAATGAATAAAATGGTCAGGTTCTGTGAAAATGCTCCAAAATGTCCACAATCTGTGAAGTTGTCAGTGAACTCCCAACATGTCATGCTTGGGCATGACTCGTGGACTTAATGATTTCCAGTTGAAACAAAAAAAAAGTCTTATTAAATGTCAGAGCATCTCATATATGTTGAAACAGTAAATACATTTATATCCCAATTCATATAGGATTATACTATTATAACCATCTCCTTATTGGCCTGAAATCAATTTTCTAGCTTTTGTTACTAAAAACAGCATCTGCATGCTTTGCTAGTGAGACAGAAAGACAAGTAATGTCTCCTTCATAGAGGCCAATAACATGCCATTCAATCAGCACTCGGTGATATGAAGAGCATTTCTTCATTGCACCCCTACCTTGGGGAAGATAGAGGTGCATGTCCTGCTGGCTCCAGCATGCTCTGGGGAATGTTCCAAGCATGGGTGGAGATCTGCAGCCACCCCCAGGAGCTGGGAGGGAAGCAGATTATTCTTTGGCTGGATCTGCCCTATGTCTGTGGCAGCACTGTTAGACATACAACTGGCAAGCTCCAGGTGATGTGGGTCATACCTCTCGGCAGTCTGAGGACATTCAGTATTTTACCCAAACCAAAGTTTTTATGTCTGCCTCCAAGATTACTCTGCTGCACTGCCAGCATGTTTGATCTTGTAATGAACCAAACACAAAGTTTGTCTTCCTCTGGATGGCTCGAGTGAAAGATGGAGAAAAGCTTCCCAGCGTTAGCTGCCTAGCAGCAGCAGAAGCAAGTGAAGCAATATAACAATATGTGAGCATGTTTTTATTTATGTCAGTTTATATGCTGTGTCTGGTTCTCTCAATAATCTTTCTGACTTTGGTTTTTGAGCAATTTAGATAATTATTGATAATGTATATATATACTAACTTCTGGAAAAAGGATTTATACAAGTGTTTTTTATATAATAAAAAACTACTGTTTTAAGCCTTGTCGTGATTTCCACCCATTTAAATGTTATGTTCAGACTACAAAATTGACTGCTCCTCAGCATGCAGATGACTTGAGTGCCAAGTTATGCTTGTAAATCAGATGTCAAATATGAATATCCTATGACATGGCAAATGAAATGTATGTTTAAAATAGATATGCTCACGTAAAAGTGTTTTGTGTTCAGCTGTTTCTGAATACCACTGGTGACAGTGCTTTTCAGAATCCAAGCCATTCATCAAAACCATTCATCGAAGGTGTTGTTTTGTCTTTTTGTCCTAGAGAAGTGAAACTGAAAATCATCGTCTGTACAACTTTGGCAAAGTCAAAGGGGCCAACACCATAATCATAGAATCACTGAAGGGGCCCATAAGGATCACAGAATCACAGAACTGCAGGGGTTGGAAGAGACCTCAAGAGATCATCGATTCCAACCCCCCTGCTAAAGCATCAAATCCCTACAAATAGGGCGCATAGGTAGGTGTCCAGACGGGTCTTGAATATCTCCATAGAAGGAAACTTCACAACCTCTCTGGGCACCTGTTCCAGTGCTGCATAAAGAAGTTCTTCCTCGTGTTAGTATGGAACTTCCTATATTCAAGTTTTAGGTTATTTCTGCTTGTCCTATCACTATGCACCACCAAGAGCCTGACCTCATCCATTTTCTTCCAACTGCTCTTTAGATATTTATAAACTTTTATCAGACACCACCCCTCAGTGTTCTTTTCCCCAGACTGAACAGACCCAGGTTACTCAGCCTTTCCTCATACGGAGACACGCTCCAGGCCCTTTACAATGCTTGTGGCCCTTCAGTGGACTCCTAAGAAGATTTCTGTCTTTTTTGAACTGGGGAGCCCAGAACTGGACACAGTAGTCTAAACGTGGCCTCACCAGCGCAGAGTGGAGCGGGAGGATCACTGCATACTGAAGGTATTTCTTTTGTACAGGAAATTAGTGTTCCTGCAACAGTGCAAAATGATCAAGGAAGCTTTCATAAATATTGGAAGCCAGTGAGAGCTCATGTAAATACATGTAAAGTGAGATGCAGTTTTTTGAAATTGAACTGAAATTAAAGAAAATATTTAATAACATAATGTATAAAACATTACCCCCACTTTAATGTATAAAACATCTCCTCGACTTATTTATTGCAGAAATCAAGGTTTCCAGCAGCACAGAGTTTATTTCCAATCTTTGCTCCCCTTTGTGTGGCTATGCATCATTTTGTACACATTTGATTTAAATAAAGAGACAAGATCCTAATCTGTGAACTCCTGGGTTTAGTCACTGACTAGTCACAAGACTGCTGAACAATTTGGTTCAGAAGGAAGGGGAAAAAGAACTGGAAAAGGAAACGGCTGGCCGAGCCCACACTGAAACAGAAGGGCTCTTCCTCTGAGTTCTGCGAGAACAGAGAGACACGCGGGGAGCTCCTTCCTCTCGTTTTATTTCTGCTTCACATGAGCGATTCAGAAAGCTCATTATTCCTTCAGATCCTCTGCTGTAGCTGTGTGGGAAGCAATTCTTTCTTCGGAGGAGGAAAAGGGGTTGAAATCCAGAATAATGAAGTTGTTGTTTGGTCCTCAGTATGCCTTTTTCTGCCTAATGAATGATTCATTTAACGAGGAGGCTCCAGCCCCAGCCAGCAGTTGGGTTCCAGGCGATTGGCCTGTTCCTGTGCCTCAGCCAGCACCGAGCTGGTGCTTCTGCCCCTGCTAAGCAGCAGGCAGCCTAGGGCCATCAGAGCATGCTCAGGTGGGTCGCCTGCAGCCTGCCCATGAGGCTCCCACACTCCAGCACTCCTTCCTCCTGGTGCCAGGGATTTAAGTGGTACTTATGTCCAGCCATTAGGTAGCCCTGCACTCATTGCTCTTTCTCAGGAAGCCTTTGTTGGCTGCCAGGTGCCACCTAACACTGCTCATTTTGGTGATTCCCTTCCTCAGCATCAGTGTGCATCCTGGAGAAGATCCTTCTGCTATTTACTACACATGCTCCTGCTTATCTCAATGTAACAGTGCTGTCGAAGCACAGCTTGTGTACCAGTTGCATGTTGTGGATCCAACAGCTTGGCCTGCATTTGCTCTCACTGCTTATGGGACAGCGCCAATTCAAAACCACAAGTCACAAACAGACATGTTTGCTCACCATTGTTAATAGCTCTGTGGATAGAAATAAAATACTTTTTTGAAGCCTGTTTGTTCACATGCCTTTAGATTCTCCATGTGCTTTTCCCATCACTCTCAATTTAGATAAAAATTATAGAAAGGTTTCTAAAGGTGTTGTAGTTACATGTTCAAAAGCAACTTTGCTGGATGTCTTTTTAGTTACAGATGTATTTCTGGAGATGATAAGATTGGTAAAAGCTTGCTTCTGTAGCATCTCAATTCCAAATCCTGGCTGGATTTGGCCAGCTGTTTCTGGCAGGCGTGACCCTCCGAGACAAGAGAACCATAGAATGGTTTGGATTGGAAGGAATCTCTAAGATCATACAGTCCCAACTCCTTGCCATGGGCAAGGCTGCCACTCACCAGATCAGGCACCTCAGGGTCCCATCCAACCTGGCCAAAATGTTTCCAGGGATGGGGCATCCACAGCTCCTCTGGGCAGGCTGTGTCAGTGCCTCACCTCCCTCTGAGTAAAGAATAGTAAGCAGCTTCCATTTGGATCACACACCAACGCCGTTCCGCTGCTGCTCCCGTGTAACACGCTGCTTTATTAATGGAAGGCCTTGCACAGTTTCGCTACTTTTAATTAAAGTCCGGTTCTCAGTCCCCCGGCTCGCTGCTGCTGCTTTCCTCAACGATGTCAAGCGAAGCTTACGCGTCCTCAGCCCTCATAACGCCCTCTGCCCACGCCCTGCTGCCACCCCCAGCTCCCATGCCCCAAGTCCGGGGGGCTCCGCAACCCGCCGGGAAATCCCGGCTTCCAACGTCCCCGCGGAGCCCCCGCCCGCGGGCGCGGCTCCGGCCGCTCCGCTCCGCCCCCGCCCGCGCCCCGGCCCCGGCCCGCAGCGGCGGGCGGCGGGGGGCGCCCGCGGGCGGCGGCGGGAGCGCGGGCGCGGGGGTGGCCGAGGAGCGACGGCGTCGGCGTGAACGCGGCTGCAGAGCCCCAGCCGGCAGCGGGAGCGGCAGCGGGAGCGCCGCGCCCGCCGCAGCCGCCGGAGCAGGGCGAGGAGCGAAGCCCGAACCCCAGCAGCCCGCAGCCCCGCGGGGAGGCAGCCAGGGGCCCCCCGCAGACAGCGTGACCCCCGCCCCGCCGCCGCCTCCGCCCGCCCCCAGGAAGAGAAACAAAACAAAACCCCGGCACCGCCACGCTCTCCCTCCTGCTCCTCCTGGCATTCGGTGGCGGCTACCTTTTCGTGGTTTTTCTTTTTTCTTTTTCTTCTTTTTTTTTTTTCTTTTTCTTTTTCTTTTTTTTTTTTTTTTTTCCTTGGGGATTCTCCTTTCTCCTGCCAGACTGACTTGCACCTCTCGATAATTTCTCTTCCCCTTGTTTTTTATACTCTTCTCCCTGCTTCCAAACCCTGTGTCTGTGTGTTTCAGTACTATCACAACCTCTGCTAAAAATAGATCTTTTTATATACCCTTCCTCCTCTCTGACCCCATCCAACACCCCTTGTTAAGGTGAGTTGTGTCTTTTCATCACTTTTTCCTTGTGTGTTGTTTTTTTTAATTTTTGGTTTTGGTTTTCGCTTTTTTTTTGTTTGTTTTTCTTTCTTTTCTCCCTTGAAGGCAGGTTTTAGGGAGGAGGGGATGAGGAGGAGAGGATTTCACGGGAGCCAGGCATGTTGGCAGAGCCCTGTTTCCCTTCTGCAGCCTCAGCATCCTCCCGGACTGCTCCCTTTATCCCGAGGATGTAGCTAGCTGATGGAAGTGGGGAACCACTCTTCTTTAGCACTGCATGCTTGGAAGCCACAGCAACACCCGGGAAGAAAAAAAAAGAAAAGCAAAAAGGGGAAAAAAAAAAAAAAGAGGAAAGACAAAACCAGGAAAACTGCTCGTTTTCTCCTTTGCCCCCTCCTGCCCTCCCCCCACTCCCTCCTCCTTTCTGCGTTTGGTTTTCTTTCGTTCTTTCTTTTTTATTTGGTGTGTGTGTGAGAGCTTGGTTTCCGTCTTTAAGCAATTTGCAGGGGACTTGGAAAGAATTGCATGTGATGTCGGGGGGAGAGCGTGAGCGTGCACGTGTGTCTGAGTGCGCGCCTGTGTGTGAAGTGCTTCTGTTATTTTGTGTTTCTGGGATGGTGAGGGATGAAGCTTCCCCACTGCACACAGAGCGGGCAGCACGGCAGGAGCTGTGTAGAGGAATTGGTCAGGAATGCAGAAAGCACAGAGCTCCCGGCAGAGTTCAGTGCCTCGTGCTCCAGGATATCTCCCTGTGGATCCTTATGGCACCCGCGAAGTGCTGGCTCCCAGTGCTTCCTCCTCAGCAGGGCAGTGCCTGGAGAAGCAACTCCGGGGCTGAGGGAGATGGGAGTGTTCCCGGTCCTCAGTGCTATTCCAGGGTAAGAGAGTGTTGTGATCAGAGCTGAGAGATCACTTGCGATCACTTATTAGTATTGTTAAAGGAGAGGTGAAGCGTTGTGGCTGTGGGCATCCAGCAGCATCTCTGCAAACAGGTCTACTTTCCAATCCCAAAGTTGTTTCAGGCTGTTTTCCCTCCCTCCGGCTGCGCAGCTAACTATTCCCACTGACAACAGAAATGTGTTCCTGCAGTAAACCCCTCTGTTTGGAAACTGCTGGGGAGCAATCTATTATTCAGAGGCAATCAAGTAACTTATTTGTTTCATGGATTTTTTTTTCCCCAGTCTTTTAGTGTGCTTTCAACTCTATATTTCACCTATGTGCATGAAGTGGGATGATATAGATTTTAGTTGCATTTTAACGATGAGTTGAGGCATAACTTGCAGGGTGCCATTTGCAAAGTGTCATTTGATATAAAGCAAAATAACAGCCCCCTAGCTCTTTTTCAGGGATTTTTCCTGTCTCCATTGCTTGTTTCACAACAAGCAAGTGATTTTGGTATTGAACTTGGAAGGCAAACACGCTACACAGTGGTGCACAGTTCCAAACACTCGGAGCTCAAAAAGATGACACGTCTGAATGTGAAACTTGAGTGTATTAGGAGATCTACTGGATCCAAACTGCATGAAAGAGCACCTTGTGTACCTAATTTTCTAACAGGTTGGATCATTTTTGCAACCTGGAAGTTGACAAATGAAATAAAAAGGTTGTTGTTACCTGTCTGGATACAGGAACAGCTCTGTTCTCTGTCTAGTTAATGCAATCCCAGTAACATCACCTTCCACACACTGCGTAGATGATGTTCAACAAAAATGGGCAGTCACAGGATATGTCTTAAGCTCTCAAGACTCACTGTTTCTCCTTCTTATTAGACAACATTAAAATAATTTACACTGATTTGCCTTGGGGTTTTTGTTCTGCTGGCACAGGCTGGTGTTGCAAAAACAGGAAATGTGCTCCAAGTGTGTTGTGCCATTCTGAGTGCTGAGTAGCAGTGAGGGAAGGAACACCTGATGCCCTTTGCATAGGGAAAGAGAAGAAAAAAGCCCGGTGCAGCAGCTTCTTATAAACCTAAATAAGGGTGATGCACATTGGCTTGTCAGCCACTGGTCTGCTGAATCCCAGCTAATGGCTAAACATTGTGTTGGTGAGCACTGTGGTGTGATTTTTACTATTTGATAGAGTTTGCTGGTAATACCACATGTGGCAGAGGAGATCTTGTGTTCGCTGATGGGAGTCGTGCCTGTTTGTTTAATCCAGAGGAGAGTGAACTCACAACTCCTGCTGAAGTTACCAGCAGTTACACGAAGACAGCAGTTGTCAGGATTTTTTACCTCAGTACAGCCGAATTTAGGATATTTCTAAGGGATACAGTTGAACAGATCTGTAATGTGTTATTTTATGTAGATTTTACACTGGGTGCAATTAGTACCTGTTTAGGAAAATGCATTATTTTTGACACTAAAATTTGTCGGTAGATGGAAAACTTTTGCATTGTTTTTATCTTGGGATTTTCAGGAGAGTTCCCTTGGTATTAGTTAGCTGTTGGTAACCAATCAGCATTGGCTTCACACTAAGTTCTTTATGTAGTGTTTGTTAATTGTTGATGTTGAAAAAGGGGAAAAAAAAAAAAAAGAAGAAAAAAAAAAAAGACTGGTTAATGTGTTCCTTTATCATAACAACTGAAATACAAAAGGGCTTTCAGCTGGATACAAAAATACTAAAGCAAGGTTAACATGGAGTTTGATCTGGTGGCTGTTCCCACTGACATGAATGGCAGCACAGCAACACTCGGATCATTGTATTGTCTGTGACCTGTGATGAAACTTGTCTTTAATTTATGTTTTGAGCCTTAGATAGAGCCTGCAGTTATTCACCTCTTAAGCTTTTCTTGCTCTTGAAACGTGCCCTATGAAGTGTGAACTGCTGTAAGCAAAATAATGGGAAGAGAGTTCAGAAGTCACTCTGACTTTGTGTAGTTTATTGTTATAAAAGTAACGTGGTGCTTGTCTCTACTGCTTTGTTAGCCAATTATTTCCTTCTATTATCACACTTTATTATTCTGCAGTGTCATCCTAAAATGCTTGGTCAAGGAGTTTCCATCACATGGATGTGGGTCTTCCACAACTGAAGAGAGTGTTTGGTCCTATCCTAACTCACAACTACCCCTTCATTTTAGTAGCAATTCATTGCAGGACAAAATTGCCATTACAGTCAGACATATTTACTGAGGAAGCTATTACTGTATTGGATTTTCTTAATTTTTTATCAAGAAAATGAAAACCACCGTAGTATTGTTTAGGACTTTGAGGGGGGGGATGCTGTAGTCTTATCTATGACCACGGAGACTGCAATCACATATATGTTAAAGAGCAGTAGCATTATTCATCTGAAAGCAAATTACTCTGTTTTTCTCCGTAAATCCCATCATCTTCACTAGATTTAAGTGGTACTATGTGTTTCAAACTGAGTACTTGTAATTTTAAGACATTTAAATGAATGAAGTTACTTTATGCAAACCTGATTTTTTTATTTGCATTTTGTCTGCTGGAAATACAGTTTTCATAATAAACTAATACATATGTATATATATTTTTGTGCTGCACTTGCTTGCACATGGAAGAAAATTAGTATTGTACTTCTGGGAGCTGTGCATAACTGAAACATCAAGTGCGGATCTGCGCTGCCTTCAGCTTTGTTCCCAGCCTTGGTGGATGTGGATGAGTGTCAGTGATGACGAGTGCTGGCGAGGAGGTGCACGGCGAGGAGAAGAGGCTGGCTCTTGGGGAAACCAGGGAGTTTAATCCTGGTGTTGGAGTAGCTGTATCCTCCAGGGCTAAGTAGCAAGTGGCTTCCTCACCCTTAGCAGCAGTGAAACTCCTATCTCAGTTTGCATTCTGTGGTCTGCTTGTTTTTTCCTCTGTATTACAGTAGATATGGAAGTTTTAATTACAGTGTAGTAGAGCTAGTGCAGTTCTCTGGCTCTCTGATGACAACTGTTTGTCGGAGGTCAGTGGAAAATAATTGTGGAGATGAGGCTCCAGAGACAATGTTTCATCTTTGTAGTTCTATTTACACCAGTTTTCCATGTATTTATATATCGCTGTTGTACCCTACTTGCCTTCTGTAGAGAGTTTTCAGGAGGGCAGAAAATATTGTTCCCCTTCTGGAATAACAGAATGTAACAGCTTCTCCCATTCGCTCAGCCCCAGCCAGATGAAGGACAGCAAAAAATTTGACATGACTATGAAATTTCATGCTTTACGCAGGAATCACATTTTTAAGCGTAATCCAAAGGGAATGATCTTTTCAAAATGACACAGGGGTGGCGTTTCCTTGACTGGTGTTGACCTCTTTGTGGCAGCCCGATGAATTCCTGGGTGAGGTGGGATGTGGTCAGTTTCTCCAATAGGGACCACTACTGTCATGGCTCCATGTTGGCAGCTGGAGTGGCTATCCCAGCACTGCAGTGAGACCAGTAACAAAATGCAAACTTTGTTTATAGGAAAAAATACATAACGCAATCTTGATTTCTGCTGACGAACAGTGTCTCTAATAGGATTCATGAATCCAAGTGTTTAATCTGTTTACCTTGCAACATCTGTGACTTTCTCATCTACGTGGCAAATGTATTTAAATACTGTGGGCAGCTGATAAACTATAAGGTAGAAAAAAGCTTATCTTCTGTAAATGAAAGATAAAATTCTTACTTTTTACTCGTTTTGGGGGAGGGTCTTTGGTTCTTGACTACACCTTATTTGATTAACATCTGTCTCTTAGTCTGCATAAAAATAGTTGCAAGAAAGGTTTGCTATTATTAATTTTAAACAGTCTTTCCTGCGTGCTTTTAAAAAAGAAGTTCCGTTTCATAATGAAGTTTTAGAGTAGGCTGCTGAGGTATGATGATAACTCAATGCCCTTAATGACTGGTTGTTAGCATGCTTTGATTAATATAAATGACATATATAGTGACAAGGTCTTTTTAAAACTTACTAGCACTTTGCATACAACGGTGGCTTTTATAATGACTCATCTGGAGCTCCCATAGAGAAAGTACAAAAACTTTGAGCAAATTAAAGCAGTTGGATTGAGCTCCAGTAGAA